CTTGAGTTTTCACGTACCGGATCGCCCAAACTCTGGAGCTCGACGCAAACTTCTTGGCGTTGGAGATGCCTGTTCTCAACTCCTGTTGGAGCTTTCCCGTTCTCACGTCGGACAAGAGTTGGAGTCCTCGCTGATTCAGTGCCTGGACCCTCGCTGCTCCATACTTTTGGTACAAGCTTCCAGCGTAAATCCCTGCCTGGATATAAAAGCTCATGGCCAGAGGGCCCAGCGTCCATACTCGCCACAGATCATCCGAGACTGCTTTTCCAAACCGGACAGTCACAGCCGCGTAGAAAATGCCACTGGAAAGAAAGACGAAAAACTTTAGCATATAGAACATAGAATTTTTCTACTTACAATACGATCACCGGCCATTTTATCGCGGGATGGATGCTCCACCAAAGTGTCGACGGTTGAGGAGGTTTTAGCGTCTGCAGCTTTTGCTTCAACACCTGTTTCGCGTCGGCGCTCTTTCTTCTAACTTCCGTGATTGCCAGGAGCTCCCTCGCGACCTGGAGAGATCCGCGATCTTTTAAGTTTTGCCTCCAGTGCTGCAGCGAGCCTTGTAACTGCTGCCACAATCTTTCTCTTTGTTGCCAGTCGAGCGTAGGCGTCGAGGAGGATGATGTCGGTGAGTCGTTGCCGTCGGACTCGTTCTCGGCAACGTCTTGGAATGACACAGCACGAAAAGTTTGTTTCCTGTTCGTTGCTTTTGGAAACAGCATAAGATATCCGTGTGGATCAAGTTGTGAGGATCTAGAAAAAAAGAAAGCAACATAGGAGAGACTTCACATACTTGCAAAGAAAGAAAGAAAAAAATATTGAAAACTTCGCTACCTTAACACAATCTTTGAAAAACTGTGCGTCCAGGACGATTGTAGATTCGTGTTCTCGACGTAGCTACACGTACAGAGGGATTTTTCTTTCACCGAGCGTACAAAGCTTGGGTGAGAAACACAAGCTACGTGAAGACCCTGCAATGAAAGGAAAGTTATTAAAAACGTAAGTCGCGATTTGTTTAACACGAACACCAAGAGCGCTGCTCTCTAGAAACTTACTCCAACGTTAAGTGCTGTCATCTTCAAGCTACGCGGCGAGCGAGTGGAAAAAACAATAGAATTCCCGGAGAATCCTTTCGTTTGGATTCACAATCCACTTCTCGCGAGGAATCTGTAAGCGCGGATTAAAACTCACGGCACTGGAGCACGAATTAGGGCCGTGGGAAGGAACACAGGCAATCCACATTGGATGGAGCTTATGGCTCCCGAAAGGAATCAACCGCAGCGAAACCTCGCAAGCAATCCAATGCCAGGCGCGGGCGCGCTGGATTCTTACCGGGCAAGGCGCTCTCCACAATCGCCCACTCCCCGCTCGCGCTAAAGCCCTGAATCTCTTTGGCGAGGAAAGGAAATCTCCATCGTTAAAAATCTCTTTTTATCCCTTTGGCCTTAACTAGCTGAAACTTTCAAGCTTGGAACTTGTTATGTTAGCCAAGCTCTAATATAACTCTCAAAACCATAGTTTGATGGCCTCTCTCTGTACAAAAATCGATGCTTCTTCTTCTTCTTTTCATCGGAACGAAGAAACCATCGATCAATCCAAACAAAATACACCGCCTGCTAGAAAGATCCTTACGGACTTCCCACAGCTCTCTTGCCGCAGCTAGAAAAAAAGAAGGAACTCGTACAAAAGCTCGCACCTCTCTCCATCTCGATCACAGCGAAGAGATTTCGAACTGGCAGTTTCCAGCCGGCTCGGGCCGAGCAGCACAAAAGTGTTGCTGCAACAAGCAAATCTTAGATCGATGAAGAGCTATCTCCTAAGCACTACTTACCGGATTGTTTTCCGAAGGGAAGAGTATTGGACGACACCTTTTGTCCTCGTTCATGAGGCTCGAGTTTTGGAAGTGTGCGACCAGCGCGGCCTTGCCCTGGATCCGTGCGTAGGCGAGAGAAGCAACCTTTTCGCTGTTGAACTTCTCCCACTTCTTGCCGTTAAAACTCTGAAAGTCACAGAGCCACCAACAAGGATTACAACCAGAGGAGCGAGAGAATTGATCGAACCTTGTAAAAGGGGACGATGTGAGCTGGCTCGGTCATGTTGATGAATGCATAGCCAACGTTGCATTTGTTCTGCACAGGCAAAAGCCGATCAATACCAGGGAAACACTTTTGCTCGCCTAAAATCACCTTAAAGTCAATTGGTAAATAGATGAAATCGTAGGTACCACGGTGGTGCTCGTCAATTGTCGACAGAAGCAGCTTTGATGTGTACCTAAAAGCCGAAAAACGTAAATATGACCGCAAGACTGGAATGCTTACTTGTTTGGTATGTTTTTTATCATCAGCGTCGTCCGCAAGTCATTCCCGAGGAGGATGCGTTCCAAGTCCAGCTGATACTTCTTGTTCTCCGCAAGCCCCGCAGAAATTTCACCCCTCCGGCTCTTGCAACGTTCGCTAAAATTATCCAGTGACCCAGCACCATTGACAAATGGACCAGTTCTATATAGCGGTCCCAACCGTGAAGAATCCACAAGGCCACTGAAAGCCTGATTGGATCCTTTCATATTCAGGCCCCCAACCGGTCCTGACCATGACATGCCCGGCAAGTCAGTGAAGAAGCCATTGTGACCGTCGACTAGCTTTCGATCCGCAAAGGCTGCGGAAAGTTCCATACTCGCCCGGGTGGAGTCCAAATGCCTGTCTCCCACAAAACTTTGTAGTTGAGAATGGAACGGACTGGAATTACTCCAGAGTGACTGCTCTGTGATTCTCGTACCCGTAAGAACTGCACAGTCGAGATGTCAGTCACACCGTAACGAGAAAGATAACATCTTCGTACCTCTGGGTGAGTGGTCGAGCGATGCCGACACTTCTCGTAAGCTAGAGGGTCTTCTCTGGTCATACACACCAAAACTGGTGGGGTCCTGGTCAGAGATCTGTAAAGATGAAAATTGCTGACGCATGAAGTGACCAGAGGACCGACCGAGAGAATCAGGAATGTTAACATGTAATGGAGAAGAGACCCGGGCAGGAACGCTACCAACACCGTTTGGATGCTGGCTAGCAAAGGAGCCGAATGAAGAGTGCACAGCTCTTATTCCTGGATCATTCATTCGAAGCGTGCTGCTTCCCCAGTGTGGCGATTGCCCTGCCGCAAGGTATTACACTTGAAACACGTAAGCATCTATGCAACTTCAGGAAGCATACCTGAAGGTGACGAGTCCAAAGGTGTCTGCATCTGCTGGCACCGAAACTCTTCCTGCTCCAGCTCGTGGGTGAGCTGTTGCATTAAGCTGAAACAATCGCTTCAAAACTCTGTTTCCTGGCTTCCACACAGACACGTACCTCCTACGAGCACCACCAGGGCGACTGGGTTCCAGTTTGATACGTTTCCCCGCAATATCGCTTCTGTTCAGCGCTCTTAGCGCCGCTTCAGCTGCCCTGACATCGTAAAACTCAATAAATTTATGATGCTTCTTGTGTGGTGTCTCGCGTATCTGAATTACAAAAGAGAGTTGCATACGTAAACATTGTCACCGAAAAGACAAAAAGACAGCATACCTCTTTAATTTCTCCATAGACACCAAAAATTTGTCTCAGGTCGTCGTTTGTGACTGACGTGTCCAGATTAAATACAACTAGCGTCCCCTGGTTGACATCTTTATCGGACGGGTTATCCTGACGAAGCGAGCATTAGCGTAAGAAGCAACTCAGAAATTCTGAGTACCTTCGGTATTGAAAAGTGGATGTCCAGCTTTCTTCGCCGTAGAGGTTTGTTCTGGAGACCACGCATGGCACTCCGGGCAGCCCGGATGTCGTAATAAGATATCATCACAAATCCGCGGTGTTTACAAGCGGTATACAGCGTGCGAATATCACCGTATTGCTTAAAAGAAGAGAAGGTAAAAAACAAAACGTGTGTCACGCGCGCTCAAGAAAACCGAAAACAAATGCAGCCTCACCTCAAAAAGTGCTCGAAGCTCCGCATCTTCAACGTTACTGTTGATGTTGCGAACAAAAAGCGTTCTAGAGGGATGTTCTCCATACGGGTGTTCTCCTGCCAAAACATTCCCGGTAAAGTTCCCGTTTGTGCTTGCGATGTCACCCTCCAGCTCCATTCCACCACCACTGTTGAAAAAATCGAACTCATCATCGTGAAGAGAGCCCAGATTGTATCCAGAATCGGCTAAAAGGTCCTCTTCGGCATCCGGAAGGAGAGTCCCCAAGGCATGCGACTCGAGCTCTTGCATAGAACCAAAGATGTCGTCACCCTCCACATCCTCGGAAGCAAGCGGCTCTAGACAATCGCAAATATCAGAAAAAAGGAACTCGAGGAAAGAGAGAACTCACGTCTTTCAAGAACTAAGTTTGGCAGCGAGCAAGGAGCACTAAGAAGGCGATTTAACTGTGAAGTGGCCGAGAACATCGACGATCCAACTGGCGCATCAAAATCCACCTTGCCCGTGTGGAATTCATTGCTACACCATCCGGAGTCCGAGAAGGCTCCAAATTCACGCCCGCCAGCGTGACTGGGGAAGAGCTGCGAGGTATTGGATGCCATCCAGGCAGCCGATCCTGCGCGAACACTCCCGCTCATCAGCACAACATCAAAACCCTAGAGCGTGGGAAAAACAGAGTCTAGAGATCGCGGCAGTGGAGCGCCGCAAATTCGAGCTCCCGGAGCTCGCCAGGGCCGAAATTTCGAGAATGAAGGCGCGAGGGACACTCACATGACGTGAATCGCAGCATTCCGGAGCTTAGATCGATCGCGCCGAGATGAGGAACACGATGCGCTCGCCGCCGCGCCCGCCGCTGCTGGTGCCGCCAGGGATTCCTCCTCCCCCGCCAGCGTCCAAGAGCACTGCTCGCCATTTTTGCCTAGTCGATTGAAGCACAAAGAAAGGGGCACACACCCTCTCTCTAGCCCGCGGGCAGGTCGGGCAGGTCGGGCAGGTCGGGCAGCCACGGGCAGCCAGTCAGGGGCCGGGCATCATCTTATCCCAAAAATGTCTTTGTCTTTGACATTAAATCCCGCGAAACAAGCACACTTATCACTTTTAAAAGCCCGAGCTCGAAGAAATAAAATCGTCCTAAACGCTAAACAAGAGAAGATTAGCCTCGAAGTCGAGGAACTCAGAAAATCAAAGAAATCCAAAGCCTCGAAAACGTTACCACATCACCTAGTCGATCAAGCGCTGCAAAGCTGGAAGAAAATAATCTGTACAGACAGAAGAACAGTACCTATCAGAACGAGCAGCGATTCGAAAAACACGAAAGAAGCCTTTCCAGTCTCGAGAAGGCGAGGAGGATTACTACTAACAAAGAACAAGGAGAGAGTCTCAATCACCCAGGACGCAGAGAAGGCAAAAGATCTCGCAAGAACACGGACAAAGCAAAAGAAAAAAAACTTCGAGACGCGAATCTCACCGGGTGAGTCGCGATCCGTTTTGATGTGTCCGCTCGCAGTGGCTGCAGCCAATCCGAATGGATCCGTTCGTGTGCATCGATGAACGGGCTCCACGCCAGTTTATCCCTGGAAAATGGAAAACTCCCTCCAATTAGCACAGGCAATACTTCACATCACCTGATGTTTACCTGATGTTTATGTTGCTAGTGAGATAAGCTTCCACCACTGCTCCCTAGTACAATAATGTAGGCAGGCGCCTTTGCTTTCCCTTTCGCTACTTTTTATCGCTCCTCTCTCTCTTGCTTCACTGCGAGCGAGAAAAATCCATCGCGGATGAGATGAGTAGCTCTAGTTAGCTATAGATACAATGAGATCATTTACCAGCTGCTGAGCTGTTGTGTGATCCCTGATCCCTGCTGTTGATCATAACTCCTCCACCAGACACCACAGCAGCCTGGTTTTCTTCTTTTTCCGTAACCTGTCTTCCCAGGAGTGCTCCAGACCCGAGGAGAGGGATCAAAGCGCTCATGGCCTCGGTCGACTGTTTCTCCAGCCAAATCGAGCACATCTACTCCAAGTCTGCAAAATCCAAGCCCAGCGGTAAACTGTCAGTGTTTCTGAAAGAACGGTATTTAGCTCGAAACCTTTCTGTGCAGGAAATCCGGTGCTCAAAATCAGTTTTATAACACTGTCTATTGCTGTGGCTCTTGGAGTTTCGTATATATCTCCACCTCCCGCAAAGATATGCGGGACACTGCATGGCCCCGCTGTTACCACTTCTCGACTCCGCTTTCCAGATGGTCGACCCGTTGCTTACGCTGAAAGAGGTGTCTCCAAGAACGATGCAAAGCACAAGGTTGTTGTTGTTCACGAGTACGGAGGCACTCGCTTGGATCTTTTCCCCTGCAACGAGGTAAGATATATTCAAGCCAGCTAACAGTGCAGTAAGCAGCGAACCTGTGCAGGAAATATTGGAGGAGCTCGGTGTGTATATGGTGAGCTTCGATCGAGCTGGATACGGCGAAAGCCACCCCTTCCCGCACCGTTCTATTGCGTCCGAGGTTCAAGACATGGAGCACTTGGCAGATGCACTTGAGCTTGGACCGAAGTTTTACGTGATAGCCATTGGTGTTGGTGCATATGCCGGCTGGGGTTGCATTCAGTACATTCCCAACAGGTACGATGCCTTGAGAATGCCTGCAAATGCAACTAGCAATGTGTTTCAACAGGATAGCAGGACTTGCGATGATTTCACCTGTTGCAAACTTCTGGTGGCCAGGCTTAGCTGCTACTTCTCAAGGGCTCGAGGCTTTGGAGGCGGCCGATAGATACACTCTCCAGGTAGCACATTATGCTCCTCGGTTCCTCTACCATTACACAAGGCAAAAATGGCTCCCTTCATCAAACATGGAGAAACTTAGTCAGGTATGTAATATTAAAAGAACAACTCACGGACTCGAGGTTCCCAGGTTTCCGAGCTTGCGATACAGCAGGGAATACACGAATCCATTCACAGAGATCTGATGATTCAATTTGGAAGCTGGGAGTTCGATCCAGCGGCACTCCAAAATCCTTTTGCCGGTGATGCGGTTCACGTATGGCAGAGCAGCGAAGATCCCTTCTTCCCATCAAGCTGGAAGGCACGGCTGAAAGTTAAACTCCCATGGGTTCAGTACCATACAATACCCGGGAAAGCTCGTGATTCGTGGCTTCAAGTTGCTGGTTTGCCTGAAAAAATGCTTGTTAGCCTACTACCTGGCAATCAAACACATGCCTGAATCCTGTTGGTTGGGCATCCTCAGAGCCGTGGTACAAAACTTTATTTCAATGTACCGTCCTGGTCGCAAACTCGTGGATTTCATAAATCTGCTATAGACAACACGTTATTGTGAAAAAACTAGAAAATTGTCTTACAGAGATGTTCGTCTTGGTGAACTGGCGAAAATCCATTCGTTGAGACGGTGTGTCCTTCCTGACGACAATAGTTATAGCAGAGCCGATGCAAAGCAAAAACTCTACATGAAAGGCCGTTAACTGCTGGCACAGAACCGGTACTGCCGCATCTCTGCTTGCTCCAGCTCTGGCATCAGCAACTGTACAACCTCTAGCCTGTTGAGCCTCCGAGCATGGTTCACAAGCGTTTGCAAAGTATTCATTTGAGGGCTATGTCCACTGGCTTTCATCTCCCTCAGCATCGAGCATGCCTGGTCAATGTGACCAGCGCGGCCGAAAGCTTCCACCAGATTGCAGTACGAGCTGCGGTCCAGCGAAACGTTTCTGCCCTCCATTTCCTTGATCAGCTCAAAGCAAGCTTGGAGCCTCCCCACCTTGGCCATCCTGACCACAATCGTGTTGTACGTGTAATGGTCCGGCACGAGGCGCTGCTCCAGCTTGAGCTCCTCAAAGGCTTTCCAGGCCTCATCGACTTTCCCAACTTTTCCCAGCAAGTCGATGATGATGTTGTAAGTGATGAGATCGTGAACAAAGCCCCCCGCGGCCTTGAGATCGTAATAGAGCTCGAGCGCTACTTCCGGCTTGCCGACTTTGTTTAGTCTGGTCATGATCACGTTGAGAGTGAGCGAGTTGGGATAGAAGTTCATCTTCATCAAGTCCCGGACCAAGGTATGCGCTGCATCCACTTCCCCGGACCTCCCAAACGCATCCATCAGGATCCTGAAAGCCCTCTCCCCGGGCGAGCAGCCATAAGACACCATCTTCCTCACCAAGTCCGCGGCTTGAGCAGTTTTCCCGGCTTTGCAAAACGTGTCGAGAAGAACGTTGAAGGTGACAATGTTGGGCTGGCACTTGTTCGCTACCATCTCCTCAAACACCTTGGCCGACGCTTCCAAGTTCGTGGTGTTTCCAATCCCTTCCATGACGAAGTTGTACGTGTAGACATCCGGAGGATAGCCTTTCTCGGACATCTCCCTGGTGTACTTGAGCGCCTCGTCAACTTTGCCGAGCTTGCAGAGGCTGTTGATGACAACGTTGTACGCAAATCTATCCGGCTTGTTCCCGGCCCAGATCATGTTCTTGAAGATCAGAGGCACCACCTGGAAACACCCAGCCTTGACGAGCTTGTGCATCACGTACTTGTAGTGCTTCATGGCCGGCTTCTCCGAGTGCTCGAACACATCGAAGAACTTCAAGGCCTTTTCGATCTCGCCACCGTCGAAGTAGCACTGGAAGAGGATCATGTACGTGATCTCGTTCTTCGCGACCTTGGCCTTGGCCATGTCGGCGTGGAGCTCCTCCATCATCCGGAAGTTCTTGGCATCCCCGAGAGTCTTCATCATCATGTTGTAGACGTAAGTGTCGTTGTAGTACTTTGGCTGCGTCTTCGCCCACCGGAAGAGCTTGAGCGCGGCCTCCTCGCCGATGCGCTGCTTCAAGATCTCACAGACGTGGTATGGCCGCAGCCTCTTCACTCCGGATGATCTTAGCAGCTCCTCGGCGGTCCACCACCCAAGCTCCCCCTTCCTGATCGCCTTGGTCATCTCCACCACGAACTGGAGATCCTCGTTCACGGGCTCCCACATGAAATCGCTGGTGAGCACGTCTTTCCTGTGGGAATCCAGCGAAATCTTCTTGAGTGGACTCTCCAGCCGGCTCCTGCTGATGTCCCTGCTGAGAGAATAGGGCGATGGGAGAGTGACGCAGGGACGTCGCCTCACCAGCAGCGATTCCGCCTCCATCGACAGGAATCGCACCAGCCGGATGCTCGCTGCCGCATTCTTCCTCGTGATCGCGAGGAACCCCATGCGGATATCCCGAAGAACCCTAAACTTCGCTTGGCCGATCGCACCACATCGCCTAGCTGCTTAGCGATCCCACATTTCGTCCAGGAAGAATCAATCGAGCTGCGCAAAACCTCAAATCGTCTAGCCACAGCGATGCCTTCATCGCCGGGAATCAGTGACACTGCCGCATTTTCTTCCTGAATGTGATATCTCCCGCCTTAGCTCCTCAAGAACCCTAATTCTCGGCTAGGGTTTCTGGGCAGCGAGGATGTGGATCTTGCTCGAGGCCGTGCTGCTGATGCTCAATAGCATCGCGATCTTGAACGAGGAGCGATTCCTGGCGCCGCACGGGTGGGGTTTTGGCGACATGTCGCAGCACGGCAGCCAGACGCTCAAGGGGCAGATCATTGGCTTCATTCACGCTGTCCAATACTTGCGCATGCCGCTCATCTTCTTCAATCTCATCGCCATCACTTCGATGCTTCTCTTCGGCTGAGCTAAGATCGACCGATCGATCCAGAAAAAGAAGAAAATGTATGGCGCTTTTCTAGCTAATCAAATTTGCCGCAAACCCTAATTCCTGAACCCTAGGAGGGGAGGAAGAGCGATGGCGTTCGTGGGCGCCTTGGGCAGTGAGGTGAGATTTTCCCTCTTTGTTTTCCCGATCGATCCACACTCTTGGCGCTGCGCAGTTGGGCCTCCGATTGCTGCTATCGCCCGCTGGAACAAACATTGTTGTGCGCACGGCAAGGTTCTCTTCTTCTTCTCTTCTCTCGCATTTTAAGATTTGGATTTCCATCCAGTGTTGGAATTGGGATCGGTTTTCCAGTGTATTCCACATTCAAGGCCATTGAGAGGAAGAATCAAGCAGAACAGGAGGAATGGCTTGTCTATTGGACTGGTAGAAATTCCTTCTTGTTTTTCTCCCTGTTCTTCATGTTTTGTGGTGTGCAGTGTATGGATGTTTCACTGTAGCGGAAATCTTCTCTGATTCCCTTCTCTCCTGGTAAGTTTTGTTTTCTTTCTGCTCCAATCCTCGTATGTTTTCTCTCGCGCAGGTGTCCATTCTATTACCACGCAAAGCTTGTTTTCCTTGTTTGGCTACAATTCCCACACAACTACGTAATTCTGTTCCATTTTTTTCCGCTCTTTCTCACTCCGATCTTTGCTTTTCTTTCCTTGCTTGTAGGGAGCAAGGCATGTTTTCAAGGTGTTTCTAAAGCCTCTGTTCGTGAAACACAAACCTCAGCTCGACAGGATCGTCGAGGGAACACGCTCAGATCTCGTAAGCTCATAGGAGTTTGATCGATTCCTACATTTCTGATGAGCTCCTGGATTTTGCAGGACACTTTCGTCAAGACCACAAAGGAGAGAAAAGAAGTCCAAGCTATCGTGCACACAACGAAAAATCTCGCTCTCTCAGGTAAAGCTCCACACAGTCTAAGAATCAAAGGCAAACTTTTTCTTCTCCTCATTACATTTTTTTTTTTTTTCCCTTCCTCTTCTAAGCGTACCATTCTCTCGGCGATTTGATCAAAGGCCACAACGATAACAGTAGCAGAGGAAACGATGAAGATCAAACAGATCAAACTTGGGTTCACGTTCGCAGAGACGAAGATCAAGATGAATGATGAAAAATGGCTGTAAAAATACTAGACTACAGAGTTTTTAGAATATTCGGGGAATCTTTTCGCTTTATGTTGACGCGACAGGGATATGCTGTTCTTATTCTAGGGCTAGGTCTCTCTTGGCTAGGGCATTGGTTCTTGGCTCCTCCGGCGCCATGGCTTCGTCGCTGATCCGGGATCTCGGGAGGAAGCTGGCTCCGCGCATTGCATCGGCGGCGGCGGGGTCGGCGTCGTCCTTCCACACTTGCTCCTCCGGTCTCTCTCGGGGCGCGGCGTGGAGCGCGAGCAATGCGATGGCGAACTGGGATTGGGAGAGGCAAGAGAAATCCTCCTGGGGCAGCTGCGCTACTCCCTGGAGCTATTCCACCACACGAGGTAAGCAAATTCTCGCAAGAAGGGGGGAAAAGCTTCCATTTTCTGATCGATCTCTTCATCGTCCAGGCTGCGCACTCACGCGAGGGAGCGAGGCGCTGACGCGAGGAAGCGAGGACTCATCGCCCTTCCTCACGGCGCTGCGCAACCCCACCGCCAACATTGTCTACGACGAGAGCGTGGTGGAGCGCTACCCGCCCGGCGACCCCGACCGAGCGGCCTACATCTACTTCGTCGCCACGGGCACCCGGTTCGTCTACGCGGCGGCCATCCGCGTGTTCATCCTGCGCCTCGTCATGACCATGTCCGCCAGCGCCGACGTGATGGCGCTCTCGAGCCTGGAGGTGGATCTCAGCAACATCATCGAGGGCTCCACGATCACGGTCAAGTGGCGAGGCAAGCCGGTGTTCATCCGGCGCAGGACCCCGGACGAGGTGGCCACCGCCAACAGTGTTCCCGTGAACTCACTCCGCGACCCTCAGCAGGACGCGGAGAGAGTGGTGAATCCCGAGTGGCTCATCGTGATCGGGGTGTGCACGCATCTGGGATGCGTGCCGCTGCCAAACGCGGGGGATTACGGAGGCTGGTTTTGTCCCTGCCATGGATCGCACTACGACGTGTCTGGGCGAGTGCGGAAGGGGCCAGCGCCGCTCAACCTCGAGGTGCCCGAGTATAAGTTCATTTCGGACACGATTGTGTTGATAGGATAGAGAGGGAAGAAGCGAGCACCAGAATCTCCAAGGCAAGAAGAAGAGACCCATTTTTCTCTAAGAACTTTGCTATGTTGACGAAGAAGAAGATGAGCTGAGCAGCGGCTGCCTGGCTTCTTGTTGGTTTTCTTTCCAACCAGAGAATAAGAATGAGATTGTAAACTTGTAGCTTGTGTCATAAAAAAAGTCACTGGATTTAAGTTCATATAAACCAAAGTTGATAAGTGTAAAACTACATTAAATGAGCAAATGGTTGAATAAACTAGAATATACTAGATAGTGTTTAAAAAAGTTTATAAACTATAAACATGTTTATAAATTATAAATATAAAATTAATCTAAATGAATAAATAGTAAAGTATCTCAAGAATATCCAGAACTTCCAGCGGAAGTGGTTAACTTTCAACCTAAGTTGAAAGTTAGTGAGTAAAATTTTTATAGATGGAGCCTCCGCTCAATGAAATGATGAATCAAAGTTTCTATAGAAAATGTGTCAATGTATGTGTGTTTTCGCGATATACCGTAACTTTTTTCACTATGATGTTCTAAGGATTTTCTGAAATGGATATATAAAATATAAAGAATGTGGTGGTGGTCTTCTATAAACTTTCACACAATCACTATAGGCAAATGGAGAGAATAGAATATTACTTATAGAGCTCCCCATCTACATCTGGAATAGCTTGGACACAAAATAGTCCATACTCGTCACTATATAAACTTTCATTTCCCAAATCTCTCCACAATGGCGTCTTCTTCCACCACCTTCGCCATCGCCACGCTCCTCTTCGCTGCTTTGTTCGCTCCTGCAGCAAACCAGAGCAGCCCGGGCTCATTCTGCCCCACCTCGCTCTTCACCTTTGCAGATTCTCTCAGCGATGGTGGCAACCGCGACATCGAAGGTGGCGGCAAGACTCTCTCGGGCAGCTACCCCTACGGCGTCACGTATGGAAGGCCAACCGGGCGCTACTGCGACGGCCTCATCATCCCCGACTTCCTGGTCCAGAAGCTCGGTTTCGACAACATCGGCATCCCCAGCCTCGAGTTCAATGGCACCGAGTTCGTCAGCCTCAACTTCGCCTACGCGGGAGCCACGGTGCTCCAGGTCGAGAACCAGCCATTCTCGAGCCCTCTTCTCGGCCCAGGTTGACGATTTCGTGCGCCACCAGCAGACCGTGGTTGCGCGCAATGGCCGCGAGCAGAGCGAGCCGTGGTACGAGAATGCGCTCTTCTACGTCGAGATTGGAGGAGACGACATCAACTTCGCGCTGCCGCTGGGAACCGACACGGTGATCAATCACACCATCCCGGCCGTGATCCAGGGCCTCGCCAGCGGCATCGCCACGCTCTACAACCACGGCGCTCGCCATGTCCTGCTCTTCAATATGCCCCGCGCGGATTGCTCACCAAACTATCTCCAGGCCTTCCAGCAGTACCCCGCCACTACGACAACGATGGTTGCATTGTGGAGATCGGTCAGCTTATCTCCTACTTCAACTCCAACATCCAGAGGCTGGCGACCGTGCTCGCGCAGAACTACACGGGCCTCAATGTATACTACTACGACTGGTTCGCGGCGAACACGTACGTCATGGAGAACATGAACCAGTATGGATTCACGAACGCGCTCCAGTCGTGCTGCGGCGGCGGTGGCAAGTTCAACTGCAATGGTGATGGGCTTTGCGGCTGCGCTCCACTGAACGAGCCCAATGCGATTTACACGGTTTGCAACGATCCCAGCCGGTACTTCACCTTCGATGGAATCCACTACACGCAGCACTTCTACCAGATCATGTCCGACTTTATCATCGCCGGGCAGTACCTCACGCCGTCGGTGAAGCTGCAGAAGGGTTGCAAGGCCGTCAATGAGCCTGAGGGTCCTCTCTAAAGCGTCATGGTTTTCATTTCTCTCTCATTATGTATCTTGTGATCCCACACTAATATCATCAAACCTTGATAAACTTTTTGTTTCCCCTAGAAAAAATAGGTGGTCTAAAGTTGCCATGGTGATCATCTTCCTTCTCGTGATGATAATTCTCCGAGTTCTTCCAGAGATTGGAGCCGATCATCCCGTCAACTATCCCGCCACTGCCCAAGCTTTCGATGTTTTCGTCTATGGCGGGAGCTACACTCCCGGCGATAGCTACAGCCAGAGCTTGGACACGGTGTGCTCTTTCCTCTACCTCTGGACGCCCATGAATGGGAGCGAGCTTCTGGTGAGCTATGGCCGCGGGGACAGCGTTGTGTGGGCACTCAGCCAGTGCTCCAACAGGACTCTGGATCGAGATCACTGCAGCAGCTGCCTCACGGCCGCTAGAGTTCGCATCGACGATTTCAACACGTCGTTTCCACTTCGAGGTGGCGGATATTGGACTACCGGAACAAATTACGATTGCTTCTTGCTCTATAACAAGGATCCAATCCATATATCAGATCCAAGTAAGCTTTTTGGTGTTTGCATTCTTCGCTACAGTTCTTTGATCGAACCATGATCATCACAGGTGTTGTGATCACAATGACGGTAACTCCGCCACCGCCACCTTTGCCATCGCCACCTCCAGGAAATGTGATTTACGTTCCAGTGCCTGCTAGCAGTAGCTCAAGAGGTGATCTTACTTGGAATTTTTTCTTTTCTAATGAAGTGTAAGTTTTTCCAGTGAGCAAGATTGTTTTCGATGTGGGAGTTCCAGTCACGCTTATCTGCGTTGGTTTCGTCCTTACAACACGCATCATCGATATGGTAAAACGGAAAAACTTGGGATCAGTGAGAGTCAAAGGTACCTTTTCTTTCGAAGCCAGATGGAAAATCCATTCTTGTATCGTCATAGAGCGTGCCCGATGCATCGAGTACAAGGAACTGAAGCTCGCAACGAAGGGATTCTCCGCGGAGAACAAGCTCGGAGAGGGAGGATTTGGAGTAGTATATAAGGTACTCGCGTGTGTACTTTGAGCTCTAAGATTCGAGAGTTCTTTTGCCTTGCCACAGGGCGTTCTGAAAGATGGAAAAGTTGTTGCTGTGAAGAGGTTGTCACTGGAATCACACCAGGGAACGGATGAGTTTCTCAATGAGCTAAAAGTGATAACTGAAATTCAGCACAAGAACCTGGTGGAGATCATAGGATACTGTGCTGACGTTCAGCACAAGCTGCTGGTCTACGAGTTCCTGCATCATCGAAGCTTGGATATCGCACTATTCGGTAAAATAGAAAAAAGCAGCGAAGTGATCTGGTCATACCTTAACCTGCTGTTGCAGAAGGTGGTGTCTTCCTGGACTGGTCGAGTCGATATAACGTCGTCGTGGGAGTGAGCCGAGGCCTGGCTTACCTCCACCATGATGCCAATGTCACGATCGTCCACCGTGACATCAAAGCTAGCAACATCCTCCTGGACGGGAACCTCAACGCAAAGATCTCCGACTTTGGGATCTCCAAGCTGTTTGAAGACGACCGAAGCTTCATCAGTGGCACTAGAATCGCTGGCACTTAGTAAGTTCCTTGAGCTTCGAAATTCTCTGACCGCTCTTTCCTCCAGTGGCTACATTGCTCCCGAGTACGCGTTCCGTGGACGACTGACAGTGAGAGCCGACGTTTACAGCTTTGGAATCCTGACTCTGGAGATTGTTGCTGGGAGGAGGTGTGTAGCACCAGATGAGCAGTTCCTTCTCGACCGGGTAAGCATCGGATTCTTCTTCTTCGACTATATCTCTCGTGCCACGCAGGCTTGGGACCTTCATCAAGCCAGAAGCCTGCTCAGCCTCGCTGATACACGACTGGAGCGGTACGACGATAAACAAGTTCTCCAAGTTATCCACATAGCTCTCTTGTGCACCGATAGTAACGAGAGCTGCCGTCCGACGATGGCCGAAGTTGTCGCAATGCTTTCCGGTTATGCCGAGCTCTGGCCTCTGAAGCCTCAACGGAATTCTTCAGATGTGCCGAGTCTCGAAAACACCAGCCTCCTGTCTCACATAGTACGAATGTACGATGACCTCGACTCATCCACTTCTGTAGTGACGAACTTGTAAATCTTGAGTAACATCAATAATGAACTTTACCTCTTCGCTTCCAAGCTTCTCCGGCGTCTCATGAGCATTTGATTCTGGAGCTCCAGGCTTAGATCCATCCCTTCGAGTTTCATCCTGCCGTAGAGCCTGAAAGCCTGGTCGTACAAACCACCGACGGTGAAGGCCTCGATCACGCAGGCGTAAGTGGCCTCTTCCGGAGCGAAGCCTTTCTTGTCCATCTTCTTGATCACTTGAAGGCAATCGAGAAGTTTGTCGTTCACGGCCAGTCCCACCAAGAGCACGTCAAACGTAGCCTTGTTTGGCTTGATCCTCGAGCTTTTCAGCCCTTGGAACAGCTCGAGAGCCTCGTCGGTCTTCCCCTCCTTGCAAAGCATTTGGATGACTATGTTCTTTGTCTCAATGTCTGAAGCGCAGCCGGCGTCCTTTCTCATGTCCTCGTAGAGCCTGAGTGCCTTCTCGTACTGTCCAGCACCATTGAGAAGTCTCAAAAGCCCATTGTAGACCATACGATCCGAAACAGCCAAATCCCCGTAGAAGTCGGACGCCAAATTTGCGTCACCTTTCTCCTCGAGAAACTTCATGATGATCTTGTTCGAAGCCTCCTGGAGCTCGCAGCACCCCGCGACCACCATCGTCTTCACAACCCCGAGAGCCTCGCACGCCTTGTCGGAGCTGAGCAGGAACTCCAGCAGGAGATTAAAGTTGTGGACGTTTGGCTTGCAGCCTCTCGCTGCCATGTCCGCGATGATATCAGGAGCTCGATCCATGTTCTCGGATCTCACAAGCCCGCTGATGAGATAGATGTAACTGTGGACGTCGGGAGCACAGCCTTTCTCCACCATATGCCTCGAAAGATCCACTGCTTCTCCAACTCTGCCGGTAGAACTCAGCGCATGGATCACGGCATTGACAGTCTCGGTGTCGGCTACGTGACCAACTTGGAGCATACCCCGCACGATCACTGGCAGAACATCACTTCTCTGGCTCTCGATGAGCTTCTTGAGCACGTAGAGGTAGTACTTCTTCTTGGGCTTGCGCTTCACGTAGCTCTCAAACTCGAGGAAGCTCTGGACGGCCTTGTCCACCATGAAGGCATCGAAGTAGCTCTGGACCACCGCCATGAATGTCACGTAAGTTCTCTGGATGTTACTGGCCATCATCTCCTTGAGAAGGAGATTGAGCTGCCGGAATCGCTGGTTGAGGCCAAGCGTCTTGAGCATGAGATTGTAGGAATTGGTGTCGTGCTGGAAGCCTGGCTGTGCTTGCGCCCAGCGAAACAGCCCCATGGCAGCGTCGGCATCGATGTTCTTGCGCAAAATCTCGCAAATGTGGAAGGCCTGAAGCTTTACCTCGAATTTCTTGAGAATCCCCGCCGCCTCCCACCAGGTGATCGCGCCGCCGCGGAGCACCAGCGTCATGTGCTTGATGAATCCCACATCTGCGATCGATGGATAGCACTTGTACTGCTGGAATACCTCCTTGTCGATCTCCACTGGCCGCTCCTCCAGCCCCAAGAAGCTGTCCGGCAAGTGCAAGGGATCCAAGCGGCCGCGCGGGGATTCTAGGGAGTAGAATCTGGCGGCGCTGCGCAGCCCGGAAGAGACCGCATTGCCGCGGCGGAGGAGCCGCGCGATCGAAATCATCATCCCTTCATCATCCTCCTTTGGGGTGTTTTTTTAGGGTTCTAAGGATTTATATTCTTTTGTAGCGTTAGGGGAGGCGCTCAGCTCGTCGCGAGGACGCTTGGCGCATCGCCGCTCTCCGGAGGCGCCATGGATTCCGGTAAGCTCTCTTCGTAGCGCAGCGCTCGCTAGGGCGCGATTTCTTGCTCCCGCGCTTGGCATTGCATGGATCCTCAGTAATTCTTGCTTGGTTTCGTGGTGTATAGACGCGGACATGGAAGATTATGGCTTTGAGTACTCGGAAGAAGACCCCGAGGAGCAAGATGTCGATATCGAGAATCAGTACTACAACTCTAAAGGTAGAGATTTTCTTTTCTGTGAAAGAAAACAATGGTATCGGCAGGATTTGTGGAGGCTGATCCTCGAGGAGCTCTCAAGGGCTTCGCGGAGGTCGTGAAGATGGAAGAAGAGAAAGGAGAATGGTAAACGAGCTTTTCTCTTTCTTTTCTCAAAGAAACACCACGCAGGGGATTCAAGGCTTTGAAGCAGACCGTGAAGGTGCATTTTCGATTGGGGACCTACAAGGAGATGATGGACGCCTATAGGGAGATGCTGACGTACATCAAGTCCGCGGTTACCCGGAACTACAGCGAGAAATGCATCAACAACATCATGGATTTTGTCTCCGGCACTGCAAACCAAAACCTGGAGCTGCTGCAAGAGTTTTACCAGACAACGCTCAAAGCTCTCGAGGATGCCAAGAATGAGGTTGTGCCTATGGTTCGTGTTTCTTGCTAATAGTGATTTGTGCAGAGGTTGTGGTTTAAAGCGAATCTCAAACTTTGCAAGCTTTGGTTCGACATGGGAGAGTATGCACGCATGAGCAAGGTAATCTTAGCCTGGGTGATTTTTCTAATTTTCTGACCCTTCATTCTCTGCATAGATTTTGAAAGAGCTCCACAGATCGTGCCAGAGAGAAGATGGCTCTGATGATCAGAAGAAAGGAACTCAGCTTCTGGAAGTATACGCCATTGAGATTCAGATGTACACGGAGACAAAGAACAACAAGAAGCTAAAGGTATCTATGCAGTTTTTTTTATGATATTCTACTGAACCTCGGCCTCAGCAACTCTATCAAAAAGCTTTGTCTATCAAATCGGCGATTCCTCATCCACGCATCATGGGAATCATCCACGAGTGCGGCGGAAAGATGCATATGGCTGAGAGGCACTGGGCAGACGCAGCCACTGACTTTTTCGAGGCCTTCAAGAACTATGACGAAGCCGGAGCACAAAGACGGATCCAATGCTTGAAGTGAGTGGCTTTTACGAAAGTCCACAGGTGGTCTAACATGTTTTTTTCTTTGTAACAGGTATTTGGTTCTTGCAAATATGCTGATGGAGTCTCAGGTTAACCCCTTCGACGCGCAAGAAGCAAAACCGTATGTATCATTTTGTCCACATTCCTCAATTCTGTGCTTTGTTTATCTGTGCTGTCAGGTATAAGAACGACCCTGAAATTCTAGCGATGACAAACCTTGTCGCAGCTTACCAGCGCAACGAAATTTTCGAGTTTGAGAAGATCCTGAAGGTAAAGCTGTTAAGTTGGCAGTCTGAGCCGGGCGAGGATTGATTTTATTTGATTTTATCTGGTAGAGCAACCGGAAAACGATAATGGACGACCCGTTCATTCGGAATTACATCGAGGACTTGCTGAAGAACATCCGGACACAAGTACTATTGAAGCTCATCAAGCCTTACACCCGGATCCGCATTCCATTTATCTCGAAGGTCGGTTTTGTGCAAATTCTATCTGCTGCCATTCAACTCTCTTGTGTAAAACAGGAGCTCAACATTCCGGAAAGAGATGTGGAGCAGCTCTTAGTGTCTCTCATCCTGGACAACCGGGTTCACGGTCACATAGATCAAGTTCATCAGCTCCTGGAGCTCGGTGACAGGTAACTCTGGACGATAGGTTCTAGTTAGTTTCGTTAGAACTAAACGGTGTGCTGTGCAGATCGAAAGGGCTGAAAAAATACACCGCGATCGACAAATGGAACACGCAGCTGAGATCTCTGTGCCAGACCGTCTCCAACAGGATCGGCTGAGAGCGAGAGGATTTTTTGTAACGCATTTAGCAACATCCACGCCAGGTCGGAGTTTCTTCTTCTTCTTCTTCTCTTTTGGCCTTTGTAGCTCAGTGTGTATATTCGCGAAAGAAAATTTTGAGATTCCTGATTTAATGCGTTGAAGGTTTTTCTACAAGGGATAGATTGCCAGGGCTTTGGATTGATGATTTGGAATGGCTCCACGCGATGGAGCTCTTCGAGAGAATGATCGATGCTGGGCGATGGATCGCGATCACATTGTGGCGATTCTGGATTGGGGAGAGCTCGCTGGGCCTTTTGCGAGGCAAGTTAATGGGTTTACTCCAGATGCTCTCTTTAACATTTCTTCTCTGGATTGTTTTTCTTGGACAGGATGTATGATTATAGCACTCCTCCATTCGATGCTCAAGAGTATGGATGAGCTACTTTGCTTGCGATCTCCCCGACGAGAGCTCGGTATAACGACTATGCAGCATATGCCTCGGATGGGCATTAGTAAGGCCTCTTTAAAAGCAATGCCCAGAGGGGGCATTTGTATGGCTTATGTGAAAAAGAGATAAACCCTAGCGTTCTTGCATTGCGGCATTTGCGAGGGAGACGATGGGCGCGGGGTTGTCAGATGGTAATGCCGCTCCTCCGTCGCGATTTTCTGGAATCGCCTTGCAGGATCGGGCAGCCGCGCTCGAGGATCGGCAGTTCCAGGCGTCGCCGTTGCGCTGTGGCGGGGATCGAGCCGATATCGGACATGTTGCGAGATATTTCGGCTCCTCTTAGACGATTCTTTCCCATTTTCGCAGGAATCCGGTATCCGCTGTTGTCTCGTTCGTGTTTGATCCTAGTTCTTCCTGCTACACTGCGTTTGCATAGCTGTGAACAAAGATCATCCACTGGAGCATGACACTGGTGAGCGCTTTCTTTCTTTATCGGATCTTAGCCAGTTTGATCGATATTACCAGGGCGTGACTGGCTGAAGGAGGTGACACGTCGAGTTTCAAAGAGAAAGAGCGTTTGTGATGCAGCTAAACTCCATCAACTCGGCCTCTTTTTCGACACGGATCTTCAGCTCCAAAACTTGGCAGGCGATCAAGGTACTGAATCCAGCATTTCTTACTAGTCTCTAAAACTTTGAGTCCTTTTCCACTCGCAGACAAGCTTTTACTTGGCGCAACTACAGATAAGCAGGTTTAGCAATATCTTCTTTTACTTGCTTGCTCTCAACTCGTATTGCCAGGACCTTGCTGCACATGAGGTAGTGAGTGCTGCAGTCGTGGCTTATATCCAGGAGCTGCTTCTGGAGAGTTATGATATGACGTTAAAAACGCTGGAGCTCAAAAGGAATACATCACGTCAGGTAAGTAACTAGCATGATGAATTGAAAATTTCATGACTTTGTTGCCCAGACAAGCACAATATTCGTGTCTTCGAATGTCAAGTCAGCAAAGGCGATTGTTTTACTTCTCTGTGATGGCTTATGGTCGAACAAAATCCATGTCAAGGTAAATAGCAAATGCAAGACAATTTGTCTAAGCTTTATGTGTTGTTTTGCTAGGACTCCCTTCTTACAGTATTGGCATTTCTTGGTAATGCATGAATTCTCAAATTCAAGTTCTTACATTTTCCAATCAGAATGGGCTCACGGGCTTGGGATGGCAGTGGTTGTTCTAAATCCAAGCGAGGTGGCGTTCAACGTGCAAACCATTCCATCTTGTGTTTTTTTTGTTTGTTGTGGGACTGACAAAGAGCATTGCAGCAAGCTGCAAGTGCCGACATTTCGCTTGAGCACGTTCTATGTGGATGGGACTTCGTCTACACAACTTTCCCTGGCACGGTGCTTGCTGTCGTTGCTCACGGCTCTGGAGGAAAGCTCGCACTCGATCTTTTAAGCCGCAGACATGTCGTCCTTCCTGAAGATTGGGAAGCTGTCCAGCGACTGAGATGCTTCGCATTCTGCAATTCAGAGATTCCAAGCGATTCTTTGCAAGTAAGAGTTCTTTTCTGTGAGACATATAACGTGTTAAGCTCGTTCGTAGGTGCTTTCTCGTCGGCAATTAAACTTCCTTGAGAGCAACTGCACTAATTGGGTCTCAGAAGACAAGCTGGCGACAGAAAGAAGCCCGATAAAACAGGTGCCCTCTGGAGCAAAGACCCACGAGAAAGCTGTAGAGTTCGCTTTCAATCCGATGTGTAACTTCCTGCTGGCGAATCTGAAAGACGCAAGGAACGAAATCCATTTGAAGGTAACTGCTATGTGAAACTGTATCATCGTAACTGACAGATCATTTTGATTTATTGCAGGCTGTGTGATGAGGAGTGTACATGCGATTGTTAAGACTTGTGCTGACAGTTCCCTGTTTGTTCTCGAAAAGGGATATTGTCGATGCTATTGCTAATCATCTTGAACTTTATAGAGAACTGCAAGCTTCCATTGGTGCCGACTATCTTGACACGGAAAAGTGATGAGAAAAATAGAGAAGAGCCTTGCATAACACCCGGCCGTGAGCTCTGTTGAAATGGAAATCCAGGTGGGTGTATTACATCTGCAACTAATTTTTCTCAGAAGAAGTTCACAGGTCCTTCAGTTGCAATCGTTTTGAGACCTGGAGAAGCGAACTGCAAAATAGTGCGTTTCTTTGCTGGCTTGTGAGTCAAGTGATGAACTTAGCGGCCGGCATCGAAGTGCCAGCTGAAATTTGCGCCGATTCTTCTCGAAAATGAAAAACGGAGAGAGCAACAAATCGTTTCCACGTCTGCTTCAGTTTCCAGCGCCATCAGTGAAAAAGCGGAACACATTCAACACACCACATCTATCCATCGCGTTTGCTCCTGAACACTTGGACAATGCGTGGAATTACAAGAGAAAGAACTAAGAAAACGGCGCCGAAAGGTGGTGGCTGAACAGTCCATGGTGCCAACGAAGGAATGTCCGAACTTCTCCTGCAGACAGCAAGCCTCGGAAACTGTGGAGGTTTATTGTTGTTGGCGAAGACAGCATCAGAGTGCGTAGCGGGGCAGCAGTGTGACATCATCTCCTGAAGCTTTTTCACGAAGAAAACATCCAAAAGACTCATCGCCATTGTCGATCACATAGCAGTGGACAAGAAACCAGTTCCTGGTGGAACCGTGGGCTATGCAAGGTAATGACGCATTTACATGTTCTCTAATCATTTAGCCTGCAGGTGCGCTCATTATGAAAAAGCTGGATCCTTCGCTGTGTATTCTATCTTCATGTCGAATGTTGAACAGCAAGCTGTTTTGAGAAGGTCCGCTACAGAAATTTTTTCACGTCCTTTCATACAGATCGAAACTTTGAGCAGCCTCATTGGACATACCGCATTACACCACCAAAGCGGTTTTTATCTTTCAACCTGCGTTTGGCGATTGCTTCTCGGTCATGAATACACGTACTGGTATGTATCCTTCGGATGCTGATGAGAAGATGGCTATGGATCTGGCTGGCATGTTTCAGGTACGCATAAAATATCTGTGTCGATTTTGCTGCCAGGCGGCAGATCGTATGGATCGCAAAGCATGCTAGTGAATGGCTGATGGATCCAATGCTTGAAGTGAGTGATGTTACAAGAGTTCAGGGGTGGTCTGACATGTTTTCTTCTTCGTCTTTGTCACAGGTACTTGGTTCTTGATGGAGTCTCAAGGTAACTCCTACGCTCAAGAATTTAAATCGTATATATCATTCCCCATCACATACTTCAATTGTGTGCTTTGTTTTCTGTCCTGTCAGGTATAAGAACGACCCTGAAATTCTGGCGATGACAAACCGTACCAGCTTTCGAGTTTGAGAAGATCCAGTCCGAATTGATTTGATTTTATCAGGCAGGCCAATGGGAAAAACGATAATGGACGACCATCAGAACAAGACAATGATGAGAGTTTTGATGGGACGAAAACCATATATTCTCGGAATTACATCGAGGTGCTGAAGAACATCCGGACACGAGTACTATTGAAGCTAAGCCTTGCACCACCATTTATCTCGAAGGTACGCTGCCATTGTGTAAAACAGGACCGC